CACCCCCGCCGCCAAGCCCGCTGCAGGTGAGCCGCCCGTCTCTCGGTTTGATTGGGTTGTGGAATTGAGCGCGGGAAATCGGTGTCTTGTGGGGATGAATGGAGAATATGAAGTAATCGAACCGCATCTTTGTACTTGGATTTTAATTTCTTGGCGCGCGAGATATTGTCTTCACGATGCAATATCTCACAGTGTTTCGCGTCTTTCTATGTCGTGCCGTTAGATGTCGCATAATCACGATCGTATCGAGCGTGCTGGTTATCATGCGACATTTTGCGGTATGACCGAGAAAGACACAAAATACCGTCAGATATTCCGTCGTGAAGACAGTGCCTGCGTGCCAAGGAATAAAAACTCAAGTATAATATTTATGCACCAGAGGATTCTAATGATCGAGCATTTCGGACCAAATGCCGACGGGCCTTGTTGTCTCCGCTTGGTCATTAGATCTAGTTAAACCCTATGGTTTTATTTTTCACCTCATTTTAATGATTCGGATTTACTTGCTTACTATAATTAACTCAATGATAACTTGACTCGCTGTGTCTTTTCTTAAATCTCTCTATAACAGAACATGTAGCATCTTTCAACTGTTTTCATATTTCCCTCGTTGCCACAATCCTCGCGATCCAGGTAAGTTCTACTGCGATTAATCAAACTCTGCCCAGGCAGATATAAGCTGTTGACGGTTTCACCCAATCGGGAACTCGAACGTCACTATAGTGACGTTTAAACTCACGTTTGAATGAAACCGTCAACAGCTGATAGTATTTTCAATCAATTTTTGCTTGCTTATTGTTTTTATTATTGCGGCCTCTACATTTGTGTACTTCTTTGTAAAAAAAAATTATATTCCCTTTACTGTCGTTTACAGACTCACTGTAGGTGTAAAAATAATTCTCGAAAGCATTTTGGCTTAATGTTTTAATAAATACTATTAAAAGGTTATATTTAATGTGTGGTTCGATTATTTAATATTGTCCATGAATGATTGCATTGTGGTTTTCCGGGCTCTTCAACTGCTATAACTGTTCGCGCCCGGAGATGTGAAGATAATTGGCAGGTATTATCACGTACGTTGAGATACGTGGCCATTTCTGTTCAGTGTCGCTCCACTTTATCTGGGTGTGAACGAGGAAAATACTGATCAGAGTAGTGGGCCAATGAATTCTACTTCGAACCCCCTTTGCAAGGGACTGCGTGGGGAAATACATTATATTTACCCTTATACGCATATGCATTTACATGCTCCACACTTAACACATCTCGGGAGACCATCCGAGAACCTAGAACTTGTTTCGGCTGGAGCGGTGCCTCGCTGGTGGGAAATACCTGGTTGGGGAAAGATCCCGCAAACCGACGAGTATGGCGGCACCGGGCCTCGCCATCAGGCGTGGAGTAACACCCCCACAATGAAAGCACGCCGTACACTTACGGGACTAATGACCTTAGCAGTTGACGCGCCCGGAAGCACTAAATAATCAATCGACTGCGGTGGAGCGCGTGGATGGCAGGCAGCGTTTTATGTGTGTTTGCTCTGCTCAGACGCGCCGGCGCCGGTACCGGCGGGAGGACAGCGCTGCGCGTACGACCCTGCGGCGGCGCGCGCCTTCATCCGCGAGCAGCGGCGCAAGCGGCGCGAGGAGCGCGAGCGCGCGGCGGCGGCGCGCGCGGCGGCCGAGCGCGAGCGCCTCGAGCGCCTGGAGCAGCTGCGCACCGTCTCCCAGCAGCTGGTGCGGGCCAGCGCGCGCCGCCCGCGCGCGCCCCAGGCCGGCGACGCCCCGCTCGCCCCGCTCCCGCAGGTGCGCCGCTCTTGCTCCGTCGTCTTCCCCGTCCTCGTGCGGTCTTTTTACTGCGTCTTCTCTCTCCTTCGTCGGCGTCTTCTCTCTCCTTCGTCGGCGTCTTCTCTCTCCTTCGTCGGCGTCTTCTTCCTTTTCCTCCTCCTCGTCCTCTTTCATTGTTGTCGTCGTGTTTTTCTTTTGTCACCTTCTTGTTCTTTTTCCTTCACCGTCTTTGTATTTCCTTTTTATCGTTTTCTTCCATTATCTGCTTCTTCCCCCTTCATGATCTTATTTTAATTCCTTTGATTTCATCTCTCTTGTCTGTTATTGTATTATTTCTTTGTCATTTACATTGTCATTGACTTATTTTAGACAATTCTTTTCTTTCAAAGGATATTTTTGTAATGCAATTCTTAAAGAATTTCATAAACTTTAATTGTTTGGAATGTATTAAATAAAATATAATTGTAAGCTTAAATTCTTCAAGTTATTCTTGTAAAAATGTTTTAATCTTTCAACACACATTTTTCCCCTCTGTAGAAACAATTGGACCATCCTGAAGGAGGCACAGATGACAAAGATCTTTCTGCGAAAACCCGGATGATTCAGCGACCCACTGTGATATTGAAGCCTCAACTCCGCTGCTGTGCCTTTGAAGAAACTCTTGCTGGTGCTGTACCAATCTGCTTTCCTTCAGATGGTCATGGTGATCAGAATGAACCATCTGAAATTGCTGCAAATGAGGGACCTGCTGAATATAATGCTCCTCAAGAATCCCAAACCAGAAATTTAGATCGTGACAAGAGAGATGTACACAATGCAGAAATGGGCAAAAGATCTCGGCTAACATCTCCATCCCCTCAACGAAATTCACGAGTGCACCAAAAAACAACACCAATCAGCAAGGTTTGAACTCTGATTTTGATTTCTAATTTATTTTCTTTATGGCTTTCTTTTTTATCATACCAAGGCAACCCCTACACAGTTATAAATACTTTGATTTATAAATAACCCCACACATTAGAAGTAAGAAATATATTATTTTCAAATAACTTTATAGTTCAATATATTGTATGAAGGAAACCACAGATTAAAAGTCAGAATAAGCACAAACTTTAAAATTGATTGTTTTCAAGTTATCAAGCAAAATGATAAGTCATAGTGACCCATTTTGATATGTCATTACCAATGCAAATATGTGAATTAGTGGATTAGGTTTCTGATTATAGTTCATTCCAGCAAAGTGAATCTGAAATATGAGGGTAAGAATTAGTGGGAGCTTTGAAACTTTTCATGGAACTATTTGCCATTAAGTTTTTTTAGAGTGGTCGAGCTGTAATTAAAGTTGGTATGTAACTTTATAAAACACCAGGAATTGTGTTTCTCCTATTATTGTGTAAACGTATTTGAAACAATGAGCTATGAGGTGTGTAATAGAGACTGCATTTGCTGTGAATATCAGCAGGACCAATTTTTTTCTGAAGCTTGCAAATCTATTTGCTTTACATTTGGGGAAAATGTCATGACCTCAAACCTAAACCGCGAACTCACATATTTTCATCTTAATAGGCATGAACTATTACTTGTCACTTAAATAACTTATTTACTCAAAAAAACAGCCAATTTTGGACTTCATACAGCGTAATATTTAATCAAAAGGTTTTCAGGTACAGTAAATCAAAGTTAAGATAATAATATATATATATTTGTGAATTTTGATTTCTATGACTTCCTTTTAATTTTCTTGGTTTCTCTTCCAGAATAAATTTCAATCCTCTTCATCTAGTCCCTCACGAAGAAACAGTTCCTCAACATCTCCTCATCGTCAAACATGCCCTTCTTCACATATTTCTGTTGTTCTAAAAAAACTTTCTCCAGATAGTAAGTCATCCAGAAATTCCAAAAGTCGAAAAGAATCTCCATCCAGTGCAGGTAATGTAGAAAGTTATGCAAATAGGTCAAAGGTTCTTTTTATTTATTTGTTCTAGTAATTTTTGTTTTCATTTGCTTCTTTCAGTCGAGATGAGTTCAACTTCTGAAAGACCATCTACTAGTTCTCCGAGTAACAGGATTAGACACCATCCTCCCAGAGACGTCACATCAGTTTTAGTTACTCAGATTGAAAAGTTAAATCGTTATGTAGATGAAATCAAAGAAGGTGGTTATTTCAAGAAAACTCCAAGAAAACATACTCGGAGTAGACGCAGTTTAGAGAGTGAATTCAAAAAGACACCCAAACATTCGAGATCAAGCTCCCTGTCTGCGGATGTTTTATCAATTGAGAAGTTACACAATGAATTGTCAGATAAAGAAACACAAGGAGTTCATGGCTCTCAAGATTCTCCTTTAAAACATCGACATCTGAGAATGGAAACAATTCCACGAATTCCTTCTCCAACACATTTAACTTGGGAACTGCCTACACCCAGCTATGATCAAGGAAATATTATTCCAGGTATGATTTAAAACACTATTTTTATGCTACTTATAGTACCCCATACTACATGCTTAGTACAAACGTTTGTTAACTTGTAATCCCTTGTTTCCTATTTGAATTCCTACTACTCATAAATTTTGGATATTACATAGAATTTTTGCTTTGCAGGTGTACAGAGCTTGCAAGAACTGGTGCGTAATCTAGCAGCAATAAAGATTCAGTCACTTTATCGTGGTTACAAAGCTCGCAAATCATTTGTGAAATTACCTTGCAAGTCACAAGATCAGGAAAAACCTGAGTCTAACATTCAGATTACTCCTATTTCTGAAGAGAAAGTTATTAATTCACAAGTAAGACCAGATTTCTATTGAAAGTAGCAAACAAATTCAATTATTTAAAATATCTCTAGCCTGTGAATTCAAAAGCAGTAAGTCTGCAAGGACTCATTTACACTTCATGATTGCTACTTAAAAATTACACATTAACACCATAATTCAGCAGTCAAAAGAATGGATTAGCTGACAAAATGAAACACAAATTTCTCATTCTTGTAAATTTATTTTGTACCTACGTATTTTCTCTTTCAAGACTATATTCTCTTGTTTGGACAGAATTTGGTGTCAAACAGCCAAGCAATGTATGCAAATTTGTGAAAAAAATGAGTTTAAAATTACGAATTCTTTGTTTTCTTGTGAGATATTAATCAAATTGATTTAAAATATTTATGTCCATTGGAAAGAAAAATTTCTAAAATTGGTGCTTAATCTTCATATGTATTAATGATATTCTTTGATTCTAACTTACTAATATATTTTATAAATATAACCTTCTAATTTAGAACTTGCTAAGATGTGTTTGTTTTTGTTGTGTGTAAACATTTGTAATGCTATGAATTATTTATCACTCATTTGTATTTTAGGGGAGCAAACTACAAGAAAAACTAGAAGTTGCAAAGAAAGAACAAGTCCCTGAATGGTTGCAGCCTCCTCCTCTATTACCATGCCCATACAACTTTATCACTGCTGTAAGGAGAAAGATGGGTGGTTTTGGAAGTGGATCTCAGAATGTTGGCTCACCTGGATCTGTACATCAAGAACATAAGTCAGTACAAACTATTGGACATAAAGAAGTGCAAACCATTGAACCTGCCCCTGTGTTATCCATTGAAGAAGCTGTGCAAGTTCCAGATGATAGTGAGAATCCTGCTGATGTCGAAATGCACGGGAATGAAACCCCATTGGGCATAAGGGAGCCTGTGTTTGAGATAACTCATTCTAATCAGAAGCCTCTAGAAGTGCCGAGTGCATCATTAAAAAGAAGAAACAAGGGTAATCGTTCTTCTTCTTCCTTGGTGAGCGATAAGGAGCAGCAGAATGAACCAAAAATTAAGGATAAACAAACAGATTTAAAACCTACTTCAGATCTTGGTGAAGAATTTATCGAAAGTGGATCTGATCATAAAACCCACTCATCACAGAGCTCTAATAATAGTAAAAATAACAAAAAGAAATCGTCTGAACAGTCTCATTCACTAGTTAAACAATCAAATCTATCTGAAGACTTGCAGGATGCACAGAAAATTAATAAAAAACTTATTCCATTGAGCACTGTCCCTAAAGGAAATGAAGTATTTAAAATAGATAATATTTCATTTACCAGTTTGGAACATGACAAAGACAGTGGAGATGACACGGAAACTAATGTGTCCTCTATCAGATCACAAGTGGCTTCTGAAATTAGTTCAGATCATTGGATTTTACCTCAAATCAGGTAAGATTGTATCTGTGCTTGAATATTTGATTGATAAATGAGGTAACTAATCATAGACTAATCTTAGGGGTTTTTGGGCCTTTTTTCATTACTCATTCCTTTAGGTTATATTATTAATAATTTGTTGACAGTGGAAGAGAAAATAAATTTATATGTAATGCATTGTATTAGAGCAAGAATTTTGAATTGGTGAAATATCGTTATTTTGAACATCATGTTATTATAAATAATTTTACTTCATTCATTTACATAAGTACACTCCTTGTTTTCCATGATTGTTTACAAGGATAACTCAGAGAAAAACTTCATTCGTATTTCACATTTACACAAATAAGCCAAAGCATAACCTGTGTATGGGTGGAGTGTTGGTTTGTTTCTTCTTAACTTCTCCTCTTCCTTCTTTTCCTTTTTCTTTCTTATCTTATTTTTTTCTCTTTCTTCTTCTTCTTCTTCTTTTCTCTTCTTCTTCTTTTCTCTTCTTCTTCTTTTCTCTTCTTTTTTCTTCTTCTTCTTCTTGTCCCTTCTCAATTTATTGTCATAGTCTAGTGATTTTATTTCATTAGCCTCTATTAGTGTAAGTATTAAGTGTTATTGTGTTATGTGTGATATTTTGTACTAATTTTGTACTACTTTGTAACTTTGTCATAGTGACTCAAGGAAACTTTTCGAGGCATCTAACTTCCCAGCTTTGAAAACTCCAGAGTTGGCATTGACACGGCAGCAGTTGAAAGGAAAAGAGGAAGTTTCTGTTCATAGTGCATATGGAACATCTAATGCTGTGAACATAATGACTCCAAGTAATAATGAATTAATGCAAGATTTACATAAATCCGGTGACACATCATCACATAGTTCTGTAAATGTCTCAAAAATATCTGAAAAAGCAGTGCAAATATTACTTGGAGAGACTGCCTTCGAAGACACCATTGATGAATATATTTTACCTCATTCAGGACATGCTAGCCCAGTGCGAGATGATAATACTGGGGACGAACGCGAACAGAAAAATGTTAATCAAAACAGTCAATTTAATAAACATAAACAATTAAATGAAGTTGAAGAAGAGCTAAGTGATCATTCTAATCATGTTGATGAATCATTCAATTCAGAAAATAAAGTTAACTTAATTGACATAACTTCAAATAAATCAGTGTTGGAATCTCATGTTGTACTACCTGATGGAGTCACAAAGTCATCTGACTCTTCTAGTTCAAAAGAGTTACAAAAGCATAGATCTTGTGCATCACTTTCTCCAACTTCTCATCATAGCATTTCAAAAAAATCAAAATCTTCACATCATTCTCAGAAAACTTTGAGTCATGTTTCAAAAAACAGTTTACATGAGAAAGAAATAACTTCTACTGCATTGTCTGTTATAAGTGGTGAAAAAACAGGTACATCTCAAAGTTTATTCAGACTGCCTCATGAAGGCGTTCAATCTGATGATGGAAAAACTCAACTGACTAGTACAGTTGAAACTTTGACTTCAGAACCTAGCATTTTGCCAGGGCAAGTGGTGAGTTATTTTTTTGTTGAATTGCTTTCATTGGATTCATTTCACTTGCAATGTTAAATATAGTATTGTAAAGTATTTCATCTTGTGTCTTGTTTCTGACTCAGCATTTCGTAAAAAATAATTTAATTGTTTATCTTGTATCTTTAATTGTTGATCCTCTTTTTTATGATTAGTTTGAATTGAAAATGATTTTCTTTCATTTCAGTTGCCCCCTGCTGCTTTACACATGCAATTTCGAGCTGAACTTCAACTGATTGATTCACTGGATACATCATATCGGCATTTGGAAAGAATAGAAAATTTGCATGCAGTAACAATGGCGCAACAAAGTGCAAATAATCTTGCTACAACTCTGAAGGTACCTTATTTCATTTTTTTGTATTTTCTGTTTCTGGTACTACAATTCTTAAGTGCTTTAAAGATTTAATTTGAAGGATTCTTTGATGTAAAAGATGTCCTCTCTTTATTTCAGTCTGCTGTTGAGGGCCAGCAGCTAGCAGAAAGGTTTGCCAAAGAACGTGAGGAGTTTGAACGTGTTCTAAGAAAAGCAAAACGTTGGAATAGTAGTGGAAGTGATGACTCTGCCAGCATTGATAAGTCCAAGTCATCACAACGGGATGGAAAATCTGTAGATCCTACCATTAAAACAGCTACTTCAGAGTCCAGTGTTGCTGCAACAGAAGAGTATGGAGATACAGGTGGTTTTGAATCATCTGTCTCATCATCACCTAAGGTAAAGGCAGTGGGTTCCCTGGTGTTTAATTTCTCTCTATCGTGACTGAATAAATATTTTATTGCAAAAAGTATTTTTAAATTGGAATTTACAGATAGTGAAAGAAGATTCAAATGTTAGTTACAAACGTGGAGGATCTCCTGCAGAACCAGTAGAGTCCCTGAAATCTGTTCAAGAATCAATGACTGCTAAATCGTCTACTGATGGATCTACGGGGCATTCTTTTACTTCCATGAGCATGGATCTTGAGCCAGGTAGTAATCTTGTTATACATATTATGAACTATATGTATATGTAGGTGTGTACCATATTTATAATGAAGTATTATGTAATATAATAACCTTTCTACATTTCACTATTTATATTCATTTAAAAAATATTATCTAAAACCATTTCAAAGCAAAGATTTTAAATGTTTATTCAAATTGCAGCTCATTTTTTTTCTTCTCTGTTTTCTTTATCCTCCCATGACAATACATTGAATTTTTACTCTGAATGGTAAAAGTTGAAGGAAATAATTGTTGCAAGTTACATGTAACATAAATTTGTGAATTGTTCCTTTCAGATTTTTCAAGTGCCATCGGATCTCATAAGATATTATCTGAATCATTGCCTCGTGTAGCACAGCCTCCTCTGGTACCCCTCAGTGTTCCTGCTGTACTGAATCCGTCCTCCTTGAACATACAGCAAACGGAAAGACTTCTTCAGACAGAACCTATTCTTGCTACTACTTATTTCATGGTAAGTTTCTGGCACTTATCTTTTTTGATAAACCTAGTACAATAGTTTTATGTACTTTTTCGTGATTACAGTATGAACAGATGTTGCGTCATGAGGAACTTCGAGCTGAAGAACAAGCCACAGTACTAAACATGAAAGAGCGAAGTCTCCTTGATCGTGCTCGAGCTGCTATGGCTCTTCTTGAAGCTCGCAAAAGGTGAGTCAGAAGAATATGTTGTTTTTTTTAATGATAATAGATAGTGAAGTATGGAGATTGCTTGAAAAGATACCTTTGTGCCTCCAAACCATTCAAATGAATGTTTAAATTGATGAGGATTATTGTCTAAGGGTCTGATTAAAAGATCTTATTGAAACTAGATTATAATAGTTGTTTGTGAGACACCTAACCATTCCCTTTAAAATTATTGATAATGGAATTAAGACTGTTGTAGTCATCTTGTGTTTGCTGCAGTTTTATTGTTTGCACAGTGAATTCTGTACACAATTTTATCATGCAATATATACATTTACATGATAATGTGTTATCTGATAATCAATTTTTCCAGGGAACTGAGGGCAAAAGGTAAAGAACAGCAAGTGCCTGCTTTGAAGAAGAAACAACGAGCTTTAATTTTACGGCTGCAGCATGACAGAGAAGAAGTTCGTCGGCAACGAAAGGCCCATGCAGCTGCAGTGGAGGAGCGGCGAAATGCTCTTGCCCAGCTTCAGCAAAGATTGCTGCAATTGCAGCTAGCAAGACATGTGTCCATCACTGCAACTGCTCCACGTGCTTCTGGATCTAATGTAAGATTCTGAATTATTTTGATATTAATCATCAGATTCGTCTAGAAAAGGGTTGTCTAAATGGCAGCCCAAAGGTCGCATGCCGCCCACAGTGCCATTTATTGTGGCCTGTGGCCATTTATAGTTATTAGTCAAAAATAAAATTCTTTGCATTTTTATAGGGCGAAATCATTGTGTGCCTAGCCCATGTGCCCTGCTGAGGTCAACACCCTCTTACCACAAATATATGTGAAGTTAAAATTTCTTTGTATGTATGCATTTGGCATTTTAGATTGATAGTCCAGCATTCAAATTCTTCTCATCGTAACTAGCAAGATCCACCTGCCTGAGCTTTAAATTTAAGGACCTTGCATTTTGGACACCCCTGATCTAGAAAGTGGAATAAACGTTATGTCCCTTGCAAATAATGTATTTGTGTATTTATTAATTGTAATTTCTTAGTATATAGCTATTGAAATTTGCATGCCAAATATTGGTTAGAATAAATAATCTTCTGAAGCAATGTCATCATCATTTCATCTGAAGTAATATCACAATCATATTTTTGTACTTCATTAATTCCTCTTTTAACAATGTTTACTTTGTTTATTATTTTGTTAGCTGATAAAAGTGTGAAACCTTTACTTCAGGAACATTCTCGCCATCAAGGATCACCAGAATCTGCTTCAAAACATGGATCCAGCCCAGTGAAAGCATCCAGCAATACTGCTTCTGTGTCAACAGATGTTCCTACAAAAATATCTAGTTCTACTCGTGGTAGTGTTCCTGTTGCTTCGAATGCCTTAGAAGCTGCATCACAGACTTCATCAATATCAGCAACCTCAGTCAAGTCTGCAACACAAAGCCAATCTCTGGAAGAAAAGATTCTTTCTTACTTGAAGACTTTGGATAGTAGTAAAAGGTATAATTTTATTGCCTTTATTTTGTTTAAAGTTCTCTCTCTATCGAACATGTTGGTTTAAGTAGTTCCTTTCTGATATATGTATTTGTATATCTACTTTTTTTCTCCTTTCAGGCGGTTAAGTGAGCACCAAAAATCTCTCCTTGCAAATTCGTTGGAAGAACTGTTGCATTCTCAAAAGAAACAAGACATTAGTGCACAGACTAATTCTGTGCCAGCCTTCAATAGTGTCTTACAGGGTAGGTACTCTACTCTTGGAATTTGCTCTGGAGTGAGTGTTTCACTTACAAGAAATAATTGTAATGGCTCATGTACTTTTCGTAAGGGGAAGAAAGACAAAGAAGATAATTGCAATAATTATTTCAAATGAAACATACAACTTAGATTACATTACATTGGTTCAGTTTGCCTATTCTCAAGGACATCTGCCAGTTCAGTCATAAGATTAGTGCACCAGCAGTCTACAAATGTTTTGGCTACCTGGCCTTAGTCCTTCCTGACATCATCTCGTGACACATTGATGTAGTTGTAGGAGACAAATGTAGATAGCAGCTTAAGGAAGGAGGATATTCTCCTCTGCACTGTATAAAAGTTCCATTAGCAAAAGTTTCCTCACTTTACCGCAGGCACATTGAGCGATATACTCAAGGAACACATGAAAGGTTGAAAGGCTGACAGATCTTCCTTGGAGCAATTAAGTTGTTTTCCCATTGCTCAAATACCTGCATTGTTTAATAACAACTCGACTGTCCAAAAAACTCTGCGTGCTAGGCACATGTGCAATTTTGGTCGCAATTCTGCGATATTTTTCGGGGCGATATGCCAATTCATTGGAACTACTGGTGTTTTTCCCTGAGGAATTTCGCAGAAAGGTGTCCAAAATGTTTGCACCTGTACCTAGAACCCGGCGTCTCTCAGACAGCCAAGTAGTTACTGACTTCATCTGTGTATGCCTACCTCTCGTGAAAATATGTTAGGGGGGCTTTCCTTCCCCGAGAAACCACCACTGATTGTTAATAATGTAATGTCGCTTTTATTTCAAGATCGTGGAACTTCTCCAGTAGTCGTTCTTGAAAAAACTTCCCCAGCAGAAATTGCAGTTTCAACTACTTCAGCTACTGGAGGAGATGAAGACAGTGCTGTGTCTCCATATGCTAAATCTCCACAACCTAGCAATAGTAGTGTACCTGAAGAAATTCATACAAGGGCAAGGTAAATTAAAGAAATTAGTATTAATTTAGCATTTTGCAGTGCATATTAATCTGCAATGTAATTGGAAATCTGTACTAAAGTATATGATCCAAATGGTTTTCAGTGTGCAATGTGGCAATGCTCATATTTCATGGGTAAAGACTAATTTACATACCAAGACTTTAACATTCATTCAAGAACTGCACGATAAAATATGATCTCAAGTGACTAGTAGAATTTATCTTAGCTATCCATTTAACTTTCTAAAGCTTATGGTCTTTCCTCAAGATGAGCACTTTATTTTGTTTATGTTATGAATAGAGTAATATTAAATTGGGTGCAGTTTTCTTCAATATTTTTATCATTGGTTGAGAATCAAACTTTTTTTTTTGTCATCAGTGATTCTTCAAGTCAGGATGGAAAGCAACCTTTAGAAGCAGAGAGTCAAACTGGTTCTGAAGTTGCCCACAGTCAAATACAAACTCGGGTATCTGTAAGCTCAGAAGAGGTTCCTGAAGAAGTGACAGTGCCAAACAAAAGATCTCAAGCACGACCTACTCTGGGGAGAGCTGTGGGACAAACAAGACGTCACTCAGCTGAAGCATTGCTACGTTCAATTTCTCCTTTGCCACCAATGCCACCTTCAACCCAGCATAAAAGAAGATATTCTAGTGGCTCTGATGAATCGGTCATATACTCTCAAACAGGTACATACTTTTTTGTAACCTGCACATACAGAAGGCCTCGCATAAAGACTAGATGTTACATTTAAAATTCAAAAGTCATTAAATTGAAAGAGTAAAAGTACATAACTTAATGTCTTAAAATATACATTTTTTAATTTCTGAGAAATATATAAGGCCAATAAACTCAATTCTGTGTTTTCTTTTCAGAAACTCCTTCTGAGCAGAGTGATTTAGAAGGTCGTGTGTCAGCTCTCCTTGAGCAACTACGACGCCGGCGAATGGAAGCAGATAAATTACGACGTGAACACAAACGAACCCACCGTGAACGTCTGAGAGCCAAAGAGCAGTCTCTCCTAAAACAAATTCAGGTACATCGAATTTGAATTACTTATCAAAAAGTTATTGGAAGGAGTAATGAACACCAAAATTAGACTCTCTTAACCTTTTGCCAATTGCTGCATGTCACCACCATTTCTGCTATGCTGACTACTGGGCTTATCAGCCGAGTGTGTGGCTCACTGTGCTTAGCACTTCGTGTGGTTGCATGGTGCTGCCAGCGGCCAGAACTGTTCAGACATGTGAATAATTTCCCTAGCTCTTTCTATTCACAATCAAAGAAATGCTTTCATAGAACCTTAGTTCCCAGTTGCAGAAGCATAATCCGTGATCTTGTTGAAATGAAAGAAACCAAACACCAGCAAGAACGTACTTGTATGACCATTACACGATGCAGATACCGCATATCCCAGATGCTCAAATTCATTCATAGAACATCTGCCAGACGTTCATTCACAGCAGTCTAAAGGTCAAATAAATGAACACAGTAACACATAAAAGCATTCATCATTTAAACCACATGATACTAAGCAACATTATATGTTATCATATTCATTCACCCTCTTCCCATTATGTTCTCCTTTCTCAGAAGAAGAAACACCCAATACAACGACACAATGATACTCTTCTGTCCTTTACGCAGTATGCAAAAGTCAAGTTAGTCTTTTATATGCAATAAAACATTACCTGTCATCAAAATTGTGTAAATGGTACATGCAAATCTACAAAATTAACAGAAATATTGGGAACATTTTAAGATTGTGAATAACTTAGTGCAAGTTCCAAAGTTCTTTACAATCTTAATAGTCTTTCTTCGTATGTACTCTCTTTATGATTTAACAGTCTCTGGCAAATTTGACAAGCCTGATGAAAATCTGGGATGAAGTCATCCCTACTTTGATAAGGGGCCGTAGCTCTGATTTCATGAGTTTTACTTAATAATTTTAATTTTTCAACATTCTGATTTAATGGCTCACTGTCTGTTGCTTCTTAATAGCAAAGGAGGCTTGATTTAACATTTAAAAAATCTTTGTAGCAACAGTGTTCATTTTTTACTTCTCTGAGATAATTATTAACTGTGTCTGTAGTGTTTTCAAATTATTTCCATCATTAGCTCGGCATTGAATCTCACATTTTCACTCATAGAATGCCAACGAAACTGTGGTTTGGTAGAAACCTAAATTGAGATAACATTTAATCTTTCTGGCCACAATATTTATTCCAAGACTTTGGTTTTCTTTTTTGCCTCATAAATTATAAATACCTTCCAAAACCAGGTTTTATTGAGCAAAAAATGCAGTATTAATACAGAGAAGAGTTTGTAGTTTAAACATGTCACTAAACATCATTTTATATTGTGGGAAGATAATTTTATTTCTTGCTTGAAAAATCAATATTTCTGTCTGTGAATAACAGAAAGAAAAATGAAGGACAGAAAGAAAAATGTCTTTGTCTTTTATGTTATTTTATTCTTGGACTGATCTACTTCAGTAATTACAATTTGAAAAAATAGGTTATCTCACTTGATAGCTAGTAAACCACTTGTACTATTAAATACATAATTGTATTTTAAATATACTTTTTTGTTTCTCTTTGAATTAGGCTTATGATGAATACATTCAGAAGACTCGTGAAGAGATTCAAAAGGAGCTTGATTCTTCTTCAGTAGCATCTGCTTCATTTTCGAAGCCAAAAATTAAACAGCCCTGCAATGCATCTCGTTCAAGAGATAGACTGTCCCTTCCTCTTGATCTGATGGCTGAGACTGCACCAGATGATACTAGAGGGAAAACTCATAAAGAGAAGATACAGTTGCTTATCGAGAAGCAATCATCAGAAGTATCGGAAGAAGTATCAAAACTATCTCCACTGTCCCATACTGTATCAGAAAATATTTCCATTGAAACAACTTCTGTTGAGGATAACAACAAATCCCAAGGTGAGAGCACTTTCCATGATGAATTGTCTGCTGTGGAAGAAGTAGCAACAGGTGCAGATGAATCCTCTTATTCTTCAGTTGTCTCAGATACAGGAGTTAGTACAGCAATCTCTGTTTCTTCAGAGAAAAATAGTGCTTCAAAAGTGCCTGAAGATGAAAGTCTGAAATCATCTTCTCCAGAAACCTCTGTAAAAGTCTCAATTCAGTCTCCTGAAATTGATGAGGAAAAAGAGGCAAAGGAATCTCATACTTCAAAAACTGAAGATGTATCCTCAAAACCTGAAGTAAGAAGTCAGGCTTCTGAACTACATTCTATATCTCCAGAAGAAAAATCTAGTGTTTTGGAAAAAGTTTCAGATGCAACCAATGATGGGAAAATGCTAATTGGAGCTACTGAAGAAAAGTCTTCCGATAGTAGTGATGAAAAATCTTCAGTTACAGTAATTGATGAAAAACTAAGTTACATTAGTGAGGAAATTCCAGTAGCTGAAATTAGTGAAGAAAAATCTGTCAGCAAAATTAGTCCTTCTCAGGAAAAAACTCACAGCCATATTAGTTTTGAAAAATCTTCTTCCCCTCTTAACATTGAAAAGTCAGAAACCAAAAGTCTAAGTAAGCAAATAGAAATTGAAAAACAAAATAAGACCGATGACTACACAGAGAGTTTTGAACCATCAAAATCAGTTGAAGCAGATTTAAGCAATGCAGAAAAAAGCATAGATAGTTTGTTAATCAAAAAATCTTTGGAAAAAGAATTGGAGGACTCTGCTTCTGAGAAAGGAGAAGAAGTGCAAGAAGAAATTACAGAAGTACCAAGTTACACAAGTCTTGCTGCAGAGGACACTCCTGGCGGTGAAACAAATTTGGGGGATGATGAAGAAGAAGAAGAAGAAGAACACCAAACCATTTCTTCAGGAGATATTTCAGAAGAACAGAGTGAACCAGCTCACATTATCAAAGTATTTATTAGTGAAAAGGTTAATAAAGAATCAAATAAAACTGACAACAACTTTGGCCAAGAAACAGTTCAAGAGGTTTCACAAGATGAGGTAGAATGTAAAGAGAAAACTGATGAGTTGGTCGAAACAGCTGTTAGCACACACATAATAGAAGAAAGTTCTCTTTCTCTTCAAAAAACAAGACACGAAAGTGGTGATAAAGAAGAGAATATTTCAGAAGATAAGTTATCAAAAGAACGAAGCCATAAGTTGGTTGATAAAATAACTGATGATATATTTTCAAGACTATTAAAGGATATGTTGAAAACACACATTGGTAAGCCAGCTACTTCTGAAACTGAAGAAAAGACCATTTTGAAAGAGCATGAAGAAGATAAAAAAGAAATCATTGGGAGTCTTGAAAATCAAACTATTGATGAATACTTGGACAATGCCTTAGAAACATTCTATAAAACCGACATCAATGATGAAACTTTTACAAAAGAAGATTCACTAGATATTTGTAAAGAATCAGATGCAGAGACAAATCTCAACTTAACATTTGATTTGTTGAATGAAGAAATGAACGATGCTACCAATACAATTCTGAATATTTTAGAGAAGAAGAAAACCATCACAGATGGCGAACAGCGAAGCCACCTTATTTCTAGTCCAGATGTTCTTATTCAGGATGTACGAAGGAGAGTAAGTGAGATTTTAGCAGAAACATCACTCAATTCATCCACCCATGAATCTCCAAGGTTGCAAGATCTTCTGACGACTACCTATGATGTCTTATCATCTCCATCTCCAGAGGACTCCATCCTCCATCCTGGTAAGTAGGACTTTTAAATCCCTTTGTATAATATTTTCCTAGGATTAAAACAAATGTTCAAAAGTCCAAATAAATTACATTGAACAGAGCAACTTATCTTCTCAGGATTCCAATATAAATATCTTACTTGCATGAAGATTTCCAATTGGGAACCAATATGTAGGTAAACTCATTTAAATTTATTTGAAAGTGAATTCGCATGTTTGGGTGTATACAAAGCAGACATTTTGATTTTGACACTCACTTCTGTACACGACCCTTCTGTAATGATTTATTTTTTCGATGTTCAGGCATTCAGGATAAAACTCATACTCCTGCTGGTAATAAAGACAAGTGTTCTCATTTTAGGCCATAATCCTATTGGATTCGAGTGAGTCTTTCAGTTTTTCAATGGTACACATTTAAACTCATCAATATTGTTCATGCTTTGTATTTCTCAAATATGGGACAGTTTCAAAATTCTGATTTTTTAAATGATTGTAAGTGTAGATCAATCAATAACTTAGACTTCTTTGAAAGTTTCCCAAAGAGTGTTGTTTCCTATAAGGCTTACAGATGTATTTCAGAAAATGAGGGCACTAAATTCTGTGCTGACAATATTAGTAATTACGAGATAATATTATTAATATATAATGTTAACGATGTGGTATACAACTTTGCTGTGGAGTGTAACTTTAAGGCCCACATCAAATTGGTTAATCCTATTAATGAGAGTAGTTGAAAATATATTTTGAATTTTAACTGAACTGTAATTATTGTCAATTTGAGGAGAACAAAATCAACATATTGCATATAAATTGTGTGAAAGATGTGAAATTTTATTTAGATTATGTTATTTATTATGTTCTTTAGATATATGTATACATTTATAATTTTGTATATATTTTCAATTAAATCTCAGTGCAACAATTGTGTGTTATGAAAGGTGATTTTGTGTTAATTAGTTCATAATAATAATATGGACTGAGGCTACAAATCTTGTGTAATTTCAGAGGCAGGAGGCCAAATTTAGCCATAAGTTCATACATCAGGTAAACAAGGCTGATATACATTGACTTGCATGTGCCTCAGATTGTGTTGCAATATTTTTAACATCCTAAAGCAGCTTATCCCAACTATTTTTGTGCCATCATTTTGTGACATTACTTTATTGTCTCCTTTTAAAAACTTGCATGATGCGGTTGTGCATCTTTGTGTATCTAAAGAATGAAGTTTTCAGAGTAGTGATTGTCAGAAGTTTTATATTTGGGACTGGTAGAAGAGTTTTCTTTTGATACCTGAGAAAAAATGTGCTTATACAAAACAAACAAACTAACCTAATGTTTCTAACTATACAATCCATTCACTTTTAATGGTAATATCTTTTGCACCCATCTAAAATTTCCGAAACCTGATGATAAAAAAGATGTATTAGTCATGTTCAACGCATGTATTGTAGTGTATTATGCTACAAAAAACTTAACTTCTCAGCAAATGTGTTGAAACATTTCATTGAGCCTCAATAATAACTTTTACAACTGCAAATATAATTGTATTATTATTGAGACAACATTGTGATTTGAAAATTTTGTAAAGTTATGTCTGAATCTCCAGATTTAGTGTTTGAAAATACATCACAATGCTTTCTTTTTTTGTGTAGTTTAAAATTTGTATACTGCTTTTATAAACATTTGATACTGACGTTCCTGAAATGTGAAATTATGCATGAATTTTGTTTAGATATTAATTTGAGGTAGACTGTTAATATCTTTAGGCATCTGATTGAAAGTAAATTACTGACATATGGCATAATACTTAAATAAACATTAAATCTTTAATAATAAAAAAATCACCCTATGATCTGGTTTTTAGTGATACATCTACATACAATCAATGGGTCTCATCTGCAAAGATTTAGCAGTTCATCTTATCATTTGCAACTTAAACAACTTAAGAGATAATGGTTTCCAAAGTACATTTTCTCATGTAAAGTACATGTTGCTCAATAGAAAACTATCATAAGATATCCAATGTAATAGAAAAAAATTCTTTGTAGTGTGTATTTCTCTTCTTGAAAGAAACCTGAATGTTTGAGAATTTAATGAAAATTATCCATTTTCACTTCTGTATTATTTTCTCAAAGGGTTGCCCAGTAGTCCAACACATCCAGGAATGGGGACTGATGTATGGGAATCCTCATCTTTCACTGCTGCTGTTAAAGAGGTGAGTTCTTATTTTACATTTGCTTTTTGCTGGGTTTATTTCCAGTAGCATAATTGTTGGAAATCAGTCAATGTATATGTATTTTTTTTAACTTTTACTACACAATCTGTACAGTAAACCCTCGACATCTGCGAATTCGCTATCGCGAGTTCCGAACATTCGCGATTAGAGAAATGCTACCGGTTCGCGAGTGCGTCTTTTGGTCTTACATCATTTTTTAAATTTATTTATTATTATTATTATTATTTTAAGATAACACATTTCATTTTCTTTGTCAGTGTCATCTGAGAACCGTACTCGGCAGATACCGGAGCTCAAAGTATCACGTACTGCAAAAAACTGTCAAAGTTGGCATGTCATTTCATATTATTAGAATAACACAATTGTAAAAAAATTCAATTCAGTTGCGTCAAATTGGATCAGGTCATAGGATCATTGCGTCAAATTGGATCAGGTCAGGTCTTTTTAGCCATATGAACAGAAAAGACAATGAGAATCTGTGCAACTCTCTTTATAATGACCTTACTGAAGAGGAGTTTCGGGAAATCATCAGCGAATAAAACTTCCTGGAACGTAATGATGAGCCAACGGAAGCGACACCGCTTCCTAAAGATACTTCGATGTCAAAGTTGTTGATGGCATTCTAAAACTTCACCAATCTCCGGTGCAAAGGCCACTTAAATGTGATCCAAACATGGAAATTACTTCGAAATTTAAGAGAGAAATAGAAACAGTAACTCTTCCATATTATATATTAGAATTACGAGAAGGGTGGTGAATAAAAAAAATAACCAAAGTCCTATATCCATTCACTATCAACTTTGAAATAAGTTTGAAATATCGTTTTATTTCTTTTCTTTGGAATGTTAGTTGTAAATTCTGTTTTTGGTAGCGCTTAGTCAGTTCTCCTGAAATTGTTAGTCGTGTTTTTCTTTCTTTTTTAAACAGTTGTTCGATCTCCAGGAACCTAACTCTCCTCCCTTCGTTAAAAGCTAGTCTCAACATTCGCGGAATTGACTTTCGCGTTGTTTTTTGAGAACCTAATTCTCGCGAATGTCGAGGGATTACTGTAGTTTCTAAAACCGCTAGATTAATGTATTTGTAAAGGGCCCATGGAGAAGATTGTAATTGACTAATTAGGTTTTACAGTTATTTTGTCAGACGTAAATTGCTTTACCAAAAATATCTCGAAGATAAGTTGGATGGATCATTGCTGTATTCAGTTCCCTTAATTTCTGAGACACTAGTAGGGCAAGCATTATAATTTTTTTGGCATTCTACGAGACTTAATTTCTTCATAGATATTAGTCTCGTCCCTCTCCCTCCATCTAGCATGTCACATGTAAAACAGCTTTACGAACATCACAAGAAGAAAAGACTGTGACTGAAACATCTAAGAAATCTCGACACGCTGCGAGCCAAGTTCCTGGCAATAGAAGAGACAATGGCTCCACGGACAGTGGCGATGAAATACGACGGAAAGGCAGCATCAAAGAGTGTTTGTTCTTTACGTTCCCATTCTCTAGCTCGTCCAATTAATCACAAGCTTAAATGATATTGTAAGAGCGGACTCGCCCTTGGTGTGATTGCCAGGTAGTGCTCCAGCGCCGGGAACCGTCGTTCTTGGCTAGAGCAACTACTTACAAACAATGTGAGCAATAGAATCGACCCTCTCGAAAACGTCGGGTCCACATAATTAGGATATTTTTTTACATTGTCCGGGGATTAGAAAATAATCAATTGAGCTATCTCCGAAATGGACTTAATTGCTAGGTATTTTTTCTCCCATCTTAATGATTTTTGCGCAATATTTATTACCCTATGTACTACTATTCCATGGAAGAAGAATATAATATAATAAAATAATTCATGGCACTTCAAGAAGGGGCGTGGTGATTATGACGGTAATTTATACATCCTGTAGTCGATAAACACTTCGTATGGCCTAATGGGAGTGTTATGTCAAGTAGGCTCGGAATTGTGCGCGAGAAAAAATTCTAATAGTTCTAAGCGCTTATAAACAAAAAGAGACTTGAAATTAAATTGCACAGAATATCAAATAATTAAACTCTTCGTAGAATGCGAAATTCTGAACGTTTCCGACCACTCATGCAGAGTACCACTACGAGAGTAACCTGCTCTCTGGATGCTCAGAAAAGCTACCTTTCTCTGCAAAATGTAATAAAATTAGAATGGCCTCATTTTGTAGATAGATCTTAGAAGCGCACAGTAACTTGGCCTCTAAAGCATGTTTTAAGGACCCAGTTTTCGAACTTCCCATTCCTTTACTAAATGGAACGCGGAATCTTTCGAAGCTTTTACGTTCTGTAAATTGACTGTAATGATTTAGATTCGTGAGTGTGAGACAGGCAGTTCTAATATAATCTTCTTCTATTATAATAACACATGTAATTCTTGATGTCTTCTGACTGGGAAAACAAGCGTACTAAGATAGGAATTGACGGAGACTTCATATCTTAAGTTTTCCGATTTTATGTATCTCTTATATTTAGAACCATGGCATAATTACATTAATAATAAATTAAGACAGTAGTGCATCGAAAGGAAACATTTTGAGTGAGAAAAGATGGAATGTTTTATTGCCATTAATATGTTTCTATAGGGGGAGCCACCAGGGTCCTGGGACAGTTGCTCTAAGGGGCGCCCTTATTTCAAACCAAAAATTTCCTCCTCTCCCAATTCATATATAAAATTCATTTCTCCATGCATCAGAAATAACATATGGTGTTAAAATTGGTTGTGGAAAGTTCTGATACGGTGATGATAAATGTGTAAATTAAATCAGTAGAATCGTGAAATGATAATTGCGATAATTCTATAGACTGGTAAAATAAAGATTTCGAAAATCTAGGATTCGAATAAAAAACAGCGAAATCGTTTTTCGGATACATCTTTTTTCGATTGAACATCCTTTCTCGTTTTGTCCACTGCATCAGTAGAGTCAGTGTTGATTTTTGTTGTAACCAATTCATCGTGGCCGAACCCGTTCTCACCATTCTGTGGCTGCATTATTTATGAATTTAAATAATTTACACAACTTGAATATTTGCGGTTATCAACGGATCGTTCACACAACCTTTGTGCGGATAAGTGGCATTGTCTAGCGTTCCTTGATTCTCTTTTAATTGCATTTGAAATTTCAGTAATATCTGGTTTATTCAAAAATGAGACCCGTCGCGAAGGGCTCCGATGCTTCAGAGAGGGTTCTCGACACATAAACTGTTGTGTTACGGCAAGATAAAAAGTTTATCACCGCCTGCTTCACGTGGGCGTCGGGTGCGCAACTTCCAAACGCGTGACATTCCACCTGTTTTTTTTACAGTCTCTACTCGTGGGCGATGAGATGAGCTCGCGATTGTTTGGAATATGCTTGCGTGGAATGCTGACATGGCCACGGTTGCTCGGTCGCCTGTAATCCCATTTCGAATTGTTTGCACAGAAAGGGGTGCGCTTTCTGGCAGAACAAGCATCAAACTTTGAACCGAAATTCCAATTTATTATCCGAAACGAAAAATGCGAGTAGGTACATCTTTGAATGGAAGATATTACCTTTAGAACGCCAGAGTGAGCTCATATCAGGTTGAGAGTTTCATCCATTTGTTTCGCAGTGAGATTGGAACCGAAACCGTTCACCACAGATCTATCGATCTCTTTTCGCAATGGAAAATTGGTTACGTTTCTTTTGCAGAATTATCAATCGCGTGATCGAGAGGAGTCTTACATCTAAACACGAAGGAATCCTGTGGCAATTAATGGTTAAACAATTTACCTCGGAGATTATTTAGGCTTGAGTTTTTTTGGTATGCTGCAAATCTGCAACTGTTGCAGTTCCCTTCCGAAGAAAGACCACTCAAATATTTCTTTTCACCATTGAAAATACACATCTTCGACCGAGCTCGAATCAGTTAACTTTTTCTCTTCCGCACCTAACAAAGAAAAATAATGTTTGGGGGCTTATAACAAAGAACCTCCTAAATATTTATTGAAGTATTTCAACGAGTTACAAGCTACCGAAATTCCAGGCGTAAACATAACAAAATGTATTTGAATAAACATTCTGGAATTCTTTTTAAGGTCTTGGAAAATCGACTTCGTTCAAAAAAATCTTCGTAACTCTTGGACTGAAAAATTTAGAGGATCAAAGCGGATTTCTGTTTCGAAGGTGATAAAATATAAAAGAAAAGCCTCCTTTTAAATGCCCTGCTTTGAAGAAGTAAGTTGTGAAGACTAGATTTGTGATTCCACTTTGCCGTGTATTTAGGGAGCCTGTTTCTGCATTCTTCCAGCACAAATGTGAGGTTGAGAGCATTCCTCGGCTACGCGCGATGCTCGCAAGAATGTCGCTCGGTGCGCTTTCACCCGTCGACGTAAACACGACACGTCGCGGTTTGGAGGTTTTTCATCAGGCCCATCAGACCAGTGCCGGGTGAAGCATGATGGATATTAAAAAGCACACCACGCAATGGATTGGTTCCTAAACCATTTTGCTGAGAGACGTACCGATACTGCGAGTTTTATTTCTTTTTAATTGACATTCTGATTAGATGTAGGGATGCGAAAAAGCACTACTTAAGGGTATTCATGCTTCGTAGATCGAAGCTGGAGAGGAATTGATTATTGGTGATATTAAGGATACACTGCATTACCCATTCCATGTAAGAGTTCAAGAAGTCTGTATCCCGGACGCCAGATTTTAGGCGAGGGGCGGGGATGGCTAAAAAAAAACAAAATAAAAGTTCATTCCAATCAGGATTGTGTACAAATAAATATCCTAGTAAAGCGTCCACTTTTAATATCGGATGTACCGAATATTTGAAGCTTATATTACCTGCACCTTTGTAAAGAAGTGATCCAATTGACACGCTGATCCGTGACATGACGGAAACCTATTTCAGGCGCGGAGAAGCACAAAATTCGTTTGCAGAATATTCTGCCGACATCAGGAATATTTCCGGCGATTCATAATCTGAAGGGGAAACATTAGGTTTATGTTTTAATCAATTGGTATGTAATCCCCAATGCAAGCAAGGTCTACTGCGGGACGGAGCGAGCAGGGCAGAACGTGTTATAATCGGGACCGGACGTGGCGGTGCTTGAAGTGTTCCTCAATAAGCTGCTTCAGCCTGTGCTCGTATGTGACGCTCGTTTTAATTTGGAAAATTATGACACTTTTCGAGGTATAGCTTGGGTTCTGTACGCAACAGATCATTAATTTCATATTTGAGACACATGATCAGTCCATTGAAGGTGTACAATGACGAATATTTGCAAATCCCACAAGTCAATTTGGACGCGTATTGTGCGAAAAATATTGAGGGTGTACGCTCTGAAGCCGCTTACCTACGAAACAGGTGGCGCAAATGACACATTGTCACGTTTCCGACTTCCTCAGCAAGTACGCATTCCGCGTTCATGTGCGTCTACGAGAGACCACGTATTTTAAGCAATCATTCATTGCTCAAGGGTTCCCGTATTCCTTACGTGTCGATAGTGAGTTCGACCCCAAATCCCGGCTGTATTCGATCGTCGTACTTCCGAAATGCAGTAACGCTCGAGCGTGCTTTGACTCGGGGCGACGAGTGAGGGTCGGGTCCGCGTGAAGGATATTTCTTTTTAGATCGGCAACTGCTTTCGGTGG